GCGTGGGCGCCCGGAGGAGCCGCAGCCCGGAGGTGCCGTCTGGCTGCCTCGGCTCTGATTCACTTCCCCGACCCCCTGGGGGGAGCCACGGACCAGAAAAATGTCTCTGCTTCCCACGGCAGAGCAGCTCACGCCACGCCACGGGCACAGCCCGCCGGGAATAGGGGTTTTCCCAGGGCTGTGTATTAAGATTCTGGTCACAGCCCAGCTTTTGGTTTTTAGCAAAGATGAATGGCAATTGTGCCATCTCTCGTTGCCTGCAGTATTTTGGAGGCCTTTCTTCTCATAAACAGCCTTGTCTATCACTTCAAAGTGACACTGGAGCATCATTTTGCTGCATATGAGGCATTTGTGCTTTGAAACCCCAGACCAGCTCTTTTCTGTGAAGACTGCACTAAATCAGCCACAAATCTCATGCTTCGCAGTTCCTCACTCACATTTAACCTCCTTTAGAGTGGAGGTTTCCCTCGGCAGATGAAACATGTTTCACCTCTGTCTGTTTTCCCCAGCACGAGGTCCCCCCGAGCCGGGGCTGCCGGGGGCACCCGGGGGTTGCTCTTCTGCTCTGTAGAGTCTGTCCCTCCGGGTGAAGCAGAGCAGCAGCTCAGCTCAACAGTCAATATTTAACCTGCCCCTTGCTCCGTGGTGTGGAAGGGAAGCTTGCCAGCCAGGTGTTGCCATTGACCCTGTCTCCCCACACACAAACAGGGCTGGCTGAGGGCTGGCTGGGCTCTGCTCTGGACTCTGCTCGTGCCTTGTGTGCTGGATTTCACCAGACATCGCAGGGCACAGTACGGGGTGTTCCGACACTGGGGAATGTCCCCATCTTCTCCTGAACCCCATGGTCGGGCTGAGATGGGCTGTTGACTTGTTCCAACCCCATCTTTCTGTGGATAGGATGGTTGCAAGAGCAGTTTTTGGGAGAGATGGGTGTTTGATGGGAGGGCAGAGGGTGGGTGTTTGATGGGAGGGCAGAGGGTGGGACCTCTCTGCTCTCTGCTGTCACTGACACCCTCTTTGCTCCAGGCTCTCTCTTTCCAGTACCCTATGAGTCGCTCCCCACCTTCCCCAGTCTGTCAAGCCAGAGCCTTTGCCAAAAGTCTTCTTATTTTCTGCCCTGGCTTTCTGTGGCTTCTCCCCAGAAGGCAGTGGTGGTGGGGACCCACCAGTGTGCTCTCCTCAGGCTGGGGCTGCACGGCCACCCCTGCACTGTGCCCTGTTAGAGCAGCCAGATAAAATTAGCTGCTGGGACGCATGTTCCTCAGGATGCCGGGACAGAGGGACACCCAGTCCGGCCAGTTCGGCTCGCGGAGAAGAATTAATGGAAACGCCCGGCTCCTGGAGGGAGGAAATTCCTCCAACAGCCTTTTCCTCCGTTTGTTGCGTGGGGAGGGGGACAATGGGCCCTGTCTGGCCGCAGCACAGCCGGGCTGGCTCGGGGCACGGCACACGCCGGCCACAGACAGCGAGTCTGCGGCACCGGGCGCTCAGGAAGGGCCTGGCACTGGTGGGTGACAGCACAGCTGGGTGACCTGCCTGCCCTCCCACCCTGCCCTGCACCACGGCAGGGCCCTGGAGCACAGCTCGGCACAGCACTGGCACTGCCTGCCTTGGCCGTGTCCCCTCTGGACACAGGGACTGCCACAAGTGCTGGATCACCGGGGTCGGGTCCGGGGGCTCTGAGCCACCCTGGCCCAGCCCTGGAGAGAAGCAGAGCAGCAGCACCGTGAGTGGGAGGGCCCTGGGGTGGCTGGACATCTGTACCTGGAACTCTCGCTGTCAAATGTTCCATAAGAATTCATGACAGATTTTTGTAACCCCACTGCCAGACACCTTCCTGGAGCACAAACCTGCCAGAGCAGTGGACAGGCTGCCACCAAGGGAAAAATTGCCTTTTTCCTCTGCAAAAATCCAATAAACACGTAAGTTCTTTGCAAGTGGCCTTTTATTTTTTTTTTTTATCAGGGATGCCCCTTGAGCCAATAATTTCAATGTAATGAGACAAGAGGGACTACAAAGTCTCCATATCACAGGATCTTATCAATCGTGTTATGTAAGTGTTGTGAGCAGGAATGTCTGGGCAATCCTAGGTTGTGCCAGCAGCAGCCACGTCAGTGGGTGTGGGTTTCAGTCTGCCACCATCGTGGCTTCTCTCACGTTCGTGTCCCACAAGGAAAGACAGTCAGCAGCTGATGCCTGAGCCTGCCCAGGCTGTGGCAGCTCTCTTTGGTTTTGGGGACCCAGAGAGTGACAAGGCTCTGCCAAACCCACTGTTGGCCCTGGCACAGGGGGTGCATTGTGGGCAGCTCAGATGGCCCAGGGCAGGGGAGGGGAGAGCAAAGCCCCACAGGCAGAGCCAGGCTGTGGGAAGCAGTGGGACAGAGTTGATTTGGTCCTCACGGGGTGTTCTCAGAGCATCCTTGGCAGCAGCATTGTCAGGTCCCAGCGAGTAACACATGGGTTTGGGGGGCTCTGTGTTTGGCTTCTGCTGTGAGAGTTTGTGGCACAGGAAAGAGCTCTGATGGGAAAAGCCACCAGAGCAGGAGAAACTTGGCTGCATCCCCCGGGACAGGAGGGGCTGAGCGGGGGCGGGTCCGGGCAGTGGGCGGCCGCTGAGGGGCCCTGTTTGGCCTTTTTTGGAAACAGCCCATTTGAGGCAGTTTGTGGGGATGTGTCATGGGTGGGTGCAGCAGCTGCAGTGAGTGTGGGACACTGCCCTGGGCTGGAGAACTGACAACTTCCTCCGGAGCAAACCTGCTCTGAGGCAGATCTTCCTGAGCAAGGGCAGTTCTGAAAAGCCTTTGGAGGCTCTTTAAAACAGGTTCATCCCAAAACAGCTCTCTCTAGTCTTCTTGGGAGGGGCAATCACCACGTGTTCCCCTCCAACCATAAATAATTACAATTGCCCATTCTATTAGGCAATGTAAAGGGTTATTTCTAGTCTCCCTGACTTATAGGCAATTTACAGTTCTTACTGTAGGCAAAAAAACTGTAGCTGGGCTATCACTCTTCCAAGCTGCTTTATCTTTGTTGCTCTAAGCAGAGTCATGGGAATGTTTTTTTCTAACCCAGCAGGTTATTAAAGGACAGACTTATAAATAACCACTCTTGGCTATTTTTAAGCATTTTCAGCATCGTCTATCATGATAGTGCAGCACAAGCTGCAGAAAAACTGTCCAATTTCGCTGTCAAAGCTTCATAACTTTGGATGGTGAGGAGCCAAGTGCAGGCTCCCACTCTGCTCTAGGGGAATGCCAAGGACCAACGAGCTGCGCTGCCCACCCTGGCCCTGGCCCCTCATTTTCTAAACCTTCTTTCCTCCTTGCAGAGGGTGTCGTTCTCCTTTATTACAGAGAGGGAACTAACACTGGAGTTGGTCTACAATAAATTTGGTGAGGTATTTCTGGGGAAATGCTGTAGTCACCATAGCAACCATGGGCCAAACTGGTGCTGCCAGGTGGGATGGTGGGGCTGCAGGGAAGTCGGGGGCTGCTGCAGCTCCTGAGGATGGGCTGCCAAAGCCACACCAGGGCGAGGAAGGAGAGGTGCAGGTGGTCTGCTCCTAAACTAAGTCTCTATGAAACGATCAAAAAAGTCTAACCCCGCCACTCCAGGAGAACTGAGCATTTCAGACAAGATAATTTATATTTACTTCATAATTTATTAATTTTCAGGTTACCGTATGCAATAAATTATAGTTGGTATAATAATAACGTCATAAAATATTACCATGAAGTAAGTACTCATCTAATAGCAACCATAACCTACACAGAGAAGAACCAGAGTTATTATATTTAGATTTTTAGTGTTAATGGGAAGTGAACAAAATATTAAGGAACTTCACAGTAAATTCAAAGAGATCTGTCATTATTATTGCTTCTGTGCAAATGACTTTTACTGCACACATACAGCTTAGGAAGGAAAGGCACAGTTGTGCAGAGTTACTCTGGAGCAAACGTGTTCCCTGATGGCTGGACTTGCTGCACCTCACACTGAACAGATGCAGAGTGACCGTGAGCAGGAGCTGATGGGTCTCCAGAGCCTCCCACCAGCCACAGCAGAGAGGCTCTGCAGGGCTCAGGCTTCAACACAACGAGGTTGAGAGGGCAGAGCCCCCGGGTGAAGTCAGTGAGCACCGAGTCTGTCAGAAGGGCCGGAGTCACGCCCGGCACTGGGGGGATCCCCCCAGCTCAGTCCCACGGCTGCCCAGAGGAGCCTGGCTGCCTCTCCCTGGGAGCCTCTGGCCACCACGCTGCCATCCCCACCAACGCTGCCACGGGCACCAGTGCTGCTGTGGGCATTGATGCTGCCCTGGGCACCAGTGCTGCTGTCCACACCGACACTGCCCTGGGCACTGATGCTGCTGTGGGCACTGATGGTACCCTGGGCACCGCTGCCGCCCTCGGTGCACAGTTTGCTGTTGGGGCTGAAGCCCTGCGGGCAGTCAGTCAGGTCCCCAGTTCCACGGGGCAGTGGAGCATGCTGAGTGGGACTGGAGGTCACAAACAGTCCCGTCCCCAAATGTTCTCCTCCATTCCTGCTCCCTTGGCCAGCTCAGTGAACTTTGATGAAGAATTTCCGAAGCGTCAGGAACTGGAGCAGTTTGTCTTTCCTCCTCTGCTTTAGTGCCATTAGCGCTCTCGTCTTCTCCTCCACGTCCTGGTCGGTGGCGAGGATTATCTTGGCTCTTTCCTCGGCCTTCTTGTCCCCGGAGTTTCTGAAGAGCTTCTGCAGGGACTCCTGGGTGATGCTCTCGAAGATGTTGGCCGCGGCTTTCTTGCGCAGGGCGGTGTCGAAGCGGTAGCCGTGCACGGAGGGGCTCACCCGCAGGGACGTGGACATGGCTGCAGGGCTGGAGCTCGGCTTTGCTTTCATCTACGGGGTGCTGCCGGGTTTGCCCTGGGCTCCAAGTAGGAGAGATGGGTGTTGTGCTGGCTCCAGGACTGGTATTTAAGGGCAGGCTGGAGGAAAAGCTGGAGGGCTCAGGTTACAGTGGTGAGATCATGATGATGTCAACGCCCAACAGGCACAGGCGAGTTTAACAGTTAAGTTGCCAACTTATTCCCATCCTGCGGAAAAGATGGAAAGTTCTCTCTGCTTCTGCAACAGACATGGCTTTTCTTTGGCCCACCACAGAACAGGCTTCAACCACTGCTGTGAGACTGAGCCAGCACAGCCCAAACTCCACTCCTGCCCTTGTTGCACGTGAAAAGCATCACGTGCAGAAAATATATCATATCATAAACCTGTAAAACTCCGGGTGAGAACTGTTGCAATCCTAGCAAGAGGTGTTGGCTGGAGCCTGCACACACAGCCCAGCACTTAGCTCTGTGTCCATCAGTAACACTGCAAACCTGCTCCTGTCTGGGCATGGGGTCCTTTCTGCTGCTTCCCAGCAGATGCAGCTCATCTTTAGTGCACACACAGCTGCATTTTCTAATTGGAAAGTGCTGTCCCAAAGGCAGGGGATGCCCAGTTTTTACACCCTCGGCTGCCCAGCTGCACATGGCAATGCTCTCGGGGTAGCAGGAAAATTCTGTTTGCTGCCCTACTCCTGCCTCCAGTGTCCTTTTTCTTAAATTTCCTGCTCACTGGAGCTGGAAAGAAAACTCACCTCTGCTCCAAAAGAGTCTGTGCTCTCCACACCACCCTTGGCCAACGCCAAGCCCTTGGGCTGGGAGGACTCACTCTTAGTCATATTAGGTTAGTTTTTGGCAGCCCTGTGAGGAGCAGGAACTCGGATTTCATGGCCCTTATGGGTCCCTTCCCACTTCAGATACACTGTGGACAGGGCCTGGCTGCCTGCAAGGGGCTGGCTCTGGCCACTGGAGCTCCTGCTGGGCTCAGACAGCTGCTCTTACCCAGCACAGTCGGACCCGGCCCAGAATAACTGCGGGTTCAAAAGTCACTCGAGGCCGGGAGCCAGAGATAAGTGTATTTTGGTTAATGTTTTAAAGCAGCCGGATGCTGCAGAGGTTGTGTTTGGAAAGTTAGCAGCTTGTTTACTGTTGTTGCTGACCCTGTTACTCACCCTTGCTGAAGGACTCCGGGAACAGCCTCTGTCCCCATCCCACTCGAACCAGGGGTTTCCCTTGTTTACCGGAGAGCTGTGGAGGTGACCTCTGACCACAGCGAAGAGCAGATCCAAAGGAACATCAGCCACATGCTTCTCATTCCACATTCCCTTTAAAACTTCTGTTCCCTCGGAGGGAGAGCGGGGACACGTCTGAGCCCCAGCAAACCCCCTCTCCAACGGCCAGGGGAGGCCAGGGGAGAGGTGAGAGCACCTGAAGCCCATGTGCAGGTGCTTGTGCTGGCTGAGAGCAGAGCAGGGCATTACCTGTGAGCTGTTGCTCACCAGGTGACATGCAGAGTGGGGCAGGTGGCTGCCTGGGCCCCAGAGTGACAGGCAACCACAGTTCCATCCGGGCTCAGGTCCACATCCAGTCGGTCGGGGCTTGCCAGGCTTTTATCCTTAGGGGAGGGATTGGGCTCATTTCAGTGCCTGACCACTTTCCTACCTGGGACTTGGGACTCTTCCGTTGGTTGTGGGCACGCCCTGGCACATGTGCCCTGCACATGCCACATCCCTCCAGAACACGGGTTTCCCCACCACTGCCGGGACTTTGATCCGTGCCGTTGCTCCAGCACGAGCTCTCCCTGCACGTGCCTTTGCTTCCCGCTGCTCCTGGTTGTGTGAGTTACTTTTTACAAGTCTGTCCCAGTTCCTCCTGGACGTGCAGGCTGTTCCACGCTTCAGTGGATAAACAACAGCCCTGCAAACCCCTGGGATTCTCCTTTCGCCAGCCAGACGTGCAGCCTCTCACCCTGCCGTGGTCTTGCTGAATTGGTGAGAATTGCACCTCGGCCACTGTTTGCTCAGTGTTTGCAGGGCTGGTAAATTCACCCTGAAAATAAGATGTTTTTGATGTGGCTGGGTCTCTGCCTGGGGAAAGACCCTCGTGGTTTATAGACTCTGTTACCATGAGATGTGAGGGGGGAGCAGGAGGGAGCAGGGCCACGTGCACTGCCCGTCCCTCTGCCTGCTCAGAGCTGCCCAGAGTGCTCTGGGAGGGCGAAACCTGCCTGCAGCACGGATCCAGCTGATATGCTGAAGGTACTTTGCTTCACTGGACAGATAACACAGTGTCAGGGTTCTTAGGGCAAAAAAACAGCGCCGGAAGATCGAACAAGATCTTCTGGCTCTGGAGAACAAACTCCTTCGTGTCCCCTGGCTGAAAACAAGAGCTGAGGCATGTTCACGTGCTCCTGGTTGTCACCACTCCCACTGCACATGGAATCGCTCTGCAGGTATTTGCAGAGACGTGGCTGAGAGCATAAATTAGCAATATCTGTGGAAGATACAAGCTCAGAAAAGTATCTGCCATGGAAACCAAGACTAAAGCTGATACTTTAGGAGTAAGACATCAGAAAACTGCCAAGATCAAGCATGCATTTCCTTGTGAGCTCATCTCACACGGAGCAGTAACAAATGTCTTTGCCCCCTCATGCTTCTCTGCCCACTTTGTATAAATTTAGTTGTGCTTGGCTCTGACGGAGTGATGAAAAATTCCTCGTCTGTTTTTTTCCAGTAATTTTTGTTTATATCAGTCTTTTAATACTGCTTTCCCAGTAGTGCTCAGGAGGAATTATTCATGTGTTGGATTGGAGCAAAACTTCAGAGATGTGATTTCTATCATCGTCCTCCCGCTATTACTGTGTAATTGCTTTGTGAGACGCAAATGCTCCATTTCACCCGCTAATGGGAGGATTAATTCCCATCCCCACCGTCTGCAGAGCGGGGCAGTCACGTCCCTCGGTGTGCTCTGCTCCTCCCTGCGCGACGGGCTGGGGGCACTCCGGGTCTGCTGCTGGGGGGCCGGGCAGGATTGTGCTGAGCTTCGGGGCACAGGGTGCCTTCCACTGGCACAGCACCCCACGGGCACCTGCCCCAGATCGTGGCCATGAAAGTTTTGACACTGAAGCACTTGTAGTTTGCTAAAGCCAGCCCCCCAGGGCTCACTGTCAAAGCCAGGCAGTGCTGGAGGGAAGGATTTGGGAGGGATGGGGACTCTGCCCCCGGGTTAGTGCTCTCAGGTGGTGCAAAGCCTCATTCAATGGACCCAGAGGCTTCTCCCACCCCAAGCTGCAAATTACACGAGGATCTCGCCTGCCCCGGCTGCACCCGTGTGAGGGACAGGGGAGGGCAAAGCAGGGCACCCACCAGGCCAAACACCACGGCAGGGGCTTCTGGAAAGCCCCCAGCCCCTGCAGGGAGCCAGCAGTCCCAGGGCAGGGGGTGGAAGGGAGCTGGGGCTGCTCTGACCACGAGGGTCGCTGGGGCAGCCAATGCCTGTCCCACAGACTCTTGCAGGGAACTTGCTCTGCCTTGGTGCAACTTCCAAAACCACTCCAAAGAAGGTAATCTGGGATGGCTTTGCAGTTCCTTGGGGCATGTTTTGCATAGCTTTCCCTCCACCAGCCTCTGCTGAAGCCTGCAGGGCCTGTGACACCCCGTTGGGATCAGAGGATGCAGCACCCCCCATGGAGCATGGGTGCTGCCCAGACCTCCCCAGCCATACCCAGGATATTCAGAAACTGGGCCTTTGGAAGGGCACCTGGGAGGCTTGGGAACCAGAGAAGAAAGTTAAATTATTGCCTTAAAATATATATATATGCATGTGTGTGTGTGTGTGTGTTTCCATGAAAATCTAAAATTTGGGAAATGCCCAGGATTCTCCAGCCATCTCTGCTCTTCCCATTCTTTCCTGGCTCCATGGTTTGGAACCCTGGCTCCTCACAGCCTTTGCTGCTGCTGCCAGCCTGCAGCTGGGGAATCCCAGCCCTCCTCAGGAGCCAGAAATCCTGCTCCTGGTGTGTGCTCTCTGCTGGGAAAGGTTTCCAAGATGGAAAGGTTTCCGAGATGGAAACAGAGACAGAGACAGCTGTGGCATGGCTCTAAGGTCAAAGAGGAACTGGTTCATTGTGTTCCTCTTGGAATCTAAATTCCTGGGAGGTTGTCAGACACCCAGGTCGTGCAAATGGCAGTGCCTGCCCTGGCTCCAACCTGCCTACAGTGTCTTCCAACTGGAACCCATGTGCCTCTGGGACTCCACCTGGGATTTCTGTTTGTTTGGCTGTTGCTTGGGTTTTTCTGTGGTTGTTGTTTCTTTAGTAGAGCATCTGGGAACACTTGTCCAAATCTCACGGCAGGACACTGTGCCCTTTGCTCACAAAACCCTGTGACTCCTCTTGTGGTCCCCAGTTCAGAGCTGCAGGACAGGGCAGGTGTTTTAAGGGCATTTCTGCTGCAGTTCAGTGGCTGGAAAGCACAGACCTATCTCAGACAATCCTCACACAGCTCCCTGCCACAAAACAGGGAAAACTGGCTGGTTTTCAGACAACAGAAGGCATGACTGCACAGACAAGCCAGTTAGATTTCAACAGAAAGGTTTTTAATAGGGAAAAACTCCGGACTGGCCTGAGTGAGGGGAATGCAGTCCCAGAGCTGTGCAGAGCAGCCCCTGCACTGGGCAAAGAATGGGCAGAGCTGGGTGAGCCCTGGGTGAGCCCTGGGTGAGCCCTGGGTGAGCCCTGGGTGAGCTGAGCATCGCTCTCTGCGGGGAGACCATATAAGAGTAAAGCCTGTGGTGGTGCTGATAATGAATGTCTGCTCATTTCTCATAAATTCTCTGCTAAATGTACGATCACCAAGTTAATAATGCAGTGCAGGACATAATGAATAGCCAGTTACAGTAAGTAAATCATGGCTGGTAAGAAACAGAACAGAAACAGAAACTTCTGGCGCTTTTACCAGGCAGAGCCCCTTGGAAGGAGCATCCAGTAAAGCAGAGCTGAGGACAGGGCTAGTGTGGACCAGATGCCACTCACTGGCACAGGGAGCTGGAGGGGCTGGGGCGGGGGTCTTGGTGTG